TATTTGAATATTCAAAAAACAACAGCCACACTGATCTATAGTTATCATCCAGTGCAGCTTCTACCGAATGTACAAGCTACAACACAGTAGTTAGTGTGGAGTGCATAGGTGTATAAGCAAACTGATATGCATCGCCGAGAGCGTATTAAAATCTAATGGACAATTAGTTTCATGAAGATCTTCAACATCACGAACGTACATGTAATCGGACGACAATTCTGTGATTCCTTTTTGAGTACAACCGCTATCCTTATCGGTTTCCATGTTCCAGATATAGTGTCACTTATAACACACCGGTTCCATAGAGCGGTTAAGGGTGCCGCCAGACAACTCGCGCACCCCTTTAAAGCGAGTGTTGATAACACATCAGGTCCACTAGACTTGATTATCTTCAACTTTTTGTGTTTCTTGTAAACATCGATGAGATCAAGGGTGACTACGGGATCTTTGTTGGTAAATAAGACCAGCGAACATGTACTTTGTGCAAGAGAACAAAACCTAGCACTGCTTTTGTCCACATCCACGTTATCAAGTCGCTTGAGAGAAGTTCTGCTACACAGCTGCTTTAAAAGTCTCTAAAGGTCACGATAATCTTGATTACCCAACACAGTTTCCGTGTATGGGCGGTTTAATCGCATTATCTCTGATTGTATTGCTGAACAGAGTCGTTTAACCTTGGCGGACATTTTTCGTTTATAAATCCGCTCTTTCTTTATGAGTTACTTTGGTAGCGACGAAGAGAATCTGCCCATGCGTAGGTAGATGATTTCAACTGGGCGGCATAGATCAAAGTCGATGTTGATATATTCATTAATGTGTTCGCGCTCCATAGATAGGTTTCTGCACGTGCAAACTGAAATGTCATTTAAAGCCGCCATCACTTGAAATTTTACGATATTTGGTGTGGAATGGTCACGCTGTCTGAAGGCGACTTAGCTGGGCACGTTCTGACACGACCGTAAAAGCGGATAACTGTGGTCCACATTTTTTTAGAATGTACCACACATTTATCAGTGCTTTTGAGAACATTATTACCTGTTCATGGGTTCTGGTGTTATAGTGCTGTAGAAAATACTGGCTGATGTGTGTCTATACCATTAAGTCAGTTGTTATAAATTACCTACTATGGCCATAGTTCCCCCAAAACGGGGATACTTTGTCCATGAAGCCAACAACTACACAGAACCAATGTTGCATAACAGAGGGGTAAAATTGGTCAGTATCTAGGTGGAAAAAAACCACAATATGCACCTATACCATTATTAAATACTTAAGCAAATTTCTCAAGAACGTTTTTTCTAGTTCGACAAGCCCTCTTTGATGGTGGAACACACTTGCCCTCAGAATCAGAAAAGATCTCTACTCGGTTGTCACTGAGATCACCGATGGAGGACAAGTAATCGGCTTCTCTTAGATAATCTTTGATTACCGAGTCACTTTCCGGTTCAGCGCAAGGCTCGGTTCCGGTAACAAGCTCCTCGGTTGGCCCCAAGACAGTTTTCTCGGGCTGGATGTTCAGAGATTCTTTTGTGTTGTGGTAGATTTTCTTCACCAGTGGCAAAAAGCATTTCTTTCAGTTGCTGCTGGAATATCTAAGAAACGATGCTGACGGCATCTGCATCTTCATTTTCCTTTGTACTTCTGCTCAGGACAGACTAGGGATTTATTGGGTAGGTGCCAGTTTTTCTAAACCCCGACCGCAAGTTTTCCGCAATACCTTCTCCCATGGTATCTAGAAGTTGTTTGAGCAGCCCCGGGAGCCTATACTTCTAGATGGTTTGGGACATTTCGCCGAAGGAATTTTTATATTTTGTCAGCATGACCCTCCGCTGGGTTTCCATAGGCCGAAAAGATGCTACATCTAGAGACCGATAAAGGCGGGTTGAGTTAGGTGGGAGGCAACAAACAGCAATGTTGTTTTCATTGCAGAGCCTGACAATGTCAAGAGAAAAATGTGAACACACACAGCGGCCAATTTTTCTGCGCTAGTAAAGTAATGCCACTTGCTAAAGCCAGTCAAAGCAGGTGTTACCAAACGCGCCTGACCTTGACCTGTCATGTCGTCAGCCTGGTGGACCATTCACTGTCCAAGTGTCCCGGAGCTTTTCGGCTTTACACACTACATATGACGGCAGTAACTCTCCATCAACGGTGCCAGCAAACATCAGGCTAATTTCTGCCTTTGACGAGTTCATAATCTTGTGATATTCGGCGCCTCTTTCATAGATTACATGGCCAACTGGCCAAAGTTACCCCAAAATAAAAGCTTATTAGGGTAACTTTTGCTACCAAGACAGTGACATAATGTATGCTAAATGTCTTTGGATAACATAAATATGTCTACGACAACAGAGGTCGTTATACTTACACTTTCTTAGGAACATGATTCACAGATGAAAGTATAGAGTGGCGGTATCCGTATCCGGATTTGCTTGTCACTGTGGCCTCCACGTGGCAGCCACAGGACGCCTGCGCCTACAGAGGGTCCATGCGTGGCTTGCGCTGCATCACCCCCATCTCCAACCAGATACCCCATATCCAGTGTAAACTCGAAAGAATAAGACCGGGAGGCATGTGGATGGGAGCCAGGTTTCATCAGGCCCACACTCCTTCACAGGTAAACACAAGCACGCTGTATTTGGGAATCTGTCGCACACAAAGCACTGGCTAGACCGTAATCCGCTCGAAACTGAAAGCATACTGTATGTTAAACACGTCTGACACCGGCCACCTATGACAAGAAGTATACCCAAGACTTAATATTCCAGTTCATCATAAAATGATTTCAAATTAATGAAAAATGAATTTTCAACACGTGAAACCAATTTTATCACACACAAAATAAAAAACATAAGTGTCAGTCGTTTTTTTAATTTTTTCATGTTAGCCCAAACTTATCTCATTGTCCGGTACCGTTGGTTTTCGAACATGGTAGACGTTACGCAATTTGGACGCTTTACTGCCATGTAAACCCCCTGTTTCATCATTTTCTGTGGGACACCAGCGAATCCTTCCTACCGTTGCACATTGTAAAGGCACTACTTGACCTGGCAACGGGAACTGATGATTGAACTGGGTATTGCCTCCCTTTTCAGGCTGTGGTCCACGTAAGCTGCACTAGATTTGGTCTCAGACCTCAGAGATCATGCCCCGTAGTGGATTTACTGTCGTTTCATATCCGGACTACCTATTATAATATCTAACTGTCTGCCGTGTTGTGTTATCTATGGAACAACCTTGATTATGACGCACAACTGTGAAAACACAATGTGGCTGTCTGAACAAGGTCACCCTGTCTACACACGATGGTCAATAGTGCACGTTCTTGTGTTACTGCTAAGGTGTAGGTGTCTTGATCTGACATGCTTACTTAGTGTTGTGGTTTTCAGTAGGCCACTCATACGTCCGTCGATGACATTGATTAGTTAGTACAGCAACACCGCGCTCTTATTGGTTTGTCTCGCATTGACCAATCAATAGTTCTTCACGTCGTACATTAAATCATGTGTGCAGTTTTTGGCCCCATACACTCGGCTTCGTACTGTGCCTTGTTCTGCCTAACTCCGTTCGTTACTACATAATAGCTACACACACACACTTTCCCCTCTTATTTCTCTTTGGTGAAACCCTTACGGTTACTCGACATAAATTTCAGTGGCGGTTTGCAGAAACGGAGCTCTTGATCCCTTTAAATTGTCATGCGATGTTAGGTTGCAGCAAGGGCTTACTAACTTATCTAGTCTAAACCTTTTAGAACTAGTATCACCAACGGATCCATAACCGCCTTTGCGAACAATAGACGTTAACAACATGAAGAGCCCTTCTCGGTCTGGGTGACTGGTGGGATGTCATTAGTAGTACACATTGGCCACGGTGGAGCAGGTGGATATTGGGTGTTGGGCTGGCGACACCATTGTGTTTTCTTAAGGACAACCCCAAATACCCACCTGCTTCATCTGCTAAGGTCCCGGTGATCGAAGTGGCCAAGGTTCGCTTCAGTGGGAATCGTAGTCCAGGTTGATATAGCGCGTCGCCATCCATTCAAAAAACTGGTGCTTCAAATTAATCATCCAATTCGACTGGAAGGTTACCAGTGCCTTAGTATAAATTACTTAGAGCCGGATATTACCCAAATCCGTTGGATAAAGGCATATGACTGTTGATACAGTTCTCTAATTTTATACTGTGCCCGTTGATGATTAGAGCCAATGGAATCACCGCAGTCTACATTCAGGAAGTAAGGCTTCATATAAGTTATTGGGAAACCGAATTAGTTCCGGAGTTAGTTAAAAATAATATCGAATAATCAACCAATGCACTAACTGTAAGGAAACTATAACTTACCGTAACATCAAATATGGATGTAGCAAGGATTGTCAGCCCTAAACCAGTACTGTGACAAATTATCTTTCCTGCAATAGAAGCGTGGGAGATATCCTACTCTAACAAGCTAGTTAGAAGGCAGACAACCAGGATAGATGCCATAATCGTCCTGTACCCCACAGGACAGTCGATGATCAGTGGAATACTCATGCCACGGAGCAAACAGCATCAGTTAGTCACAAGTGAGTATCTGACTTCGTGATGTTAAGTCCTTAAGGTGATTAACTTAGTCAGATGACTGGGTGGCAAACAGAGAAGAAATGGAAATGGAAAACTTGTTACCTTGAAAGGGCAAGTAAACATAGTTGTTGAAGAAATACAGCACCAAAGACTAGAAATTGCCTTGATGAATAAATACATTTGCCAGACTGCTTTTCTGTGTGATCTAGATACTAGAAATTTATCTAAATATGGGCAGCACATTGGTGTCTAGAGTGGAATCTTTCGATATCTTAGCTCAAACTGACTTCTGAGAATCATAAATCTAGGATAAGTCACTGACGACAGGTGGGTTTTGTTCCTTGAATCCGGTCGAGCTCCATATATCTGTTTACGTTTTATTGAAAAATATACTTATGTTGCTCCTTAAAATGAATCCTTGTATCCATCTTTTCAAGTCTATGGCTGCCGAAATGAATTTGTACGAGAACCAAATCACGCAATACAAAGGGGAACTTGATATGTTGAATCGGGAGCTGCAGGATTTGAAAAAGAAGTACTTTGCTCAGAAGAAAAAGCAACTAGACACCGAGCTATTTGACAATACCAACGCCGCCAACAATAACCTACTCAAAACGCGAAGAATCAAAGAGGATCCGGTTAAATTTACCGCCGGTGGCTTCAAAGTGACCAAAGTTATAGCATGAGAGAGCGAGTACTGCCTCACAAATCGTAGATCTTCCCTGTACTTCCTTGTGACTGCAAACGATGACCAACAGAGAGCTTCTATCTAAGTTGTCTGCTACATAATACAGATTATATATAGGAAACATTTTCTTCTCAATGACAAAAAATTGGATAGTCATCGGATTGTCCTAACAGTCAGAAGGGAGTTTCGAAGCTTGGTGGTATTTGGAAATTCACCCTTAATCTACTTTCTTGTTACCTGATGACCCTTGCGCCTTAATTTGCACTAATACACTCCTGTTTTCTTGTCCATTTTGACTCAATGATCAAACGTATATTCTTTAGCCTTTTCGTTTATTTTGAGGCAAAATATTGCTACTGATCCCTAACTCCATATATACTATATGATCATGATGTCACTGTGGTGCTAACCACGGCGGGCATCAGTTTATCATGAGTATAATAAGTGTGGCTTGCTATGCTCACTAAGGTAAAAGTTATACTGTACAATGAAATTGGCACTCGATTCTGTGGTTGAGGATCTCCTAGCTTTGCTCTATGTTCGTGTGCTTGAATTGTCATTTAGTAATCACATTTCTAGAACTACTGCTTACGGCTGATCAGACTTATTCTACGAAACCCGCGTTTCAGTACTACCGTCCAAGTTGCAGGTTAATAGCATTTTAAAAAAATGATGCCAAAATATGAAGTGTAACCTTATTTTCCTTGCACTCAGAGAATATGAAATTGCATCTAATTTTCACGTCATCTAAATGTAACCGCCATACATCAAACTTACTTCACCTGTGAGTTAATTTAACAGTTTAAAAGAACCCCATAAACCCATGTGTTCCAAATAACATAAACTGAAAGTTTCAGATGGTAGATAATTCCCTCGTCACACATAAAAACCAGTGTAGCGAACAACCTCGTTCCAGTTGTAGTGAACCTGAAACCTTCTTTCTCAGTTTTTTTGTGACAACGATTTTGTATTCGTATTTTTACCTTGCAACCGTTCATTTGCTGAACTGACTGAAATTGCCGATCACTTGCACTTTCCAAGTAAGGGCTGTGCTCGCCGCTACCTGATCTCCATCCCCTGCAGCCGTTCAGAATGCACCGTCGATCCCACTGCTCTTAGAACTCGCCGAATCCTTGTATTTACACGCCTCGTACGTGTCATGGCCTACGACTGGTACCTACATACCACCCCACACAATGGTTCACCTTCAAGTTTACTACAAAGCGCTTATATAGCTAATATAAAACAGGTTAGAGAAAGTATTACGAATGTTGATGAAAGCGAAACGGACAATCGGGTTGCGACTTGCCCACACAAGTATGGTCTCTGTGGCTGAATCTGCGCCTGCACCAGATAGTTGCATGGGTCGCCACAGGTGCATAGCCAGCCGTCCCATATGAGTGCTTTATTGGTTACTCCCAGATGCATGAAACAACAAAATAAATAGCCTATACGGTTCAAATAAATTTATGTATCATACGGCATCATTACCAGCACCGACCTTGAATCAGAAACCACTTGTTTTTAATAAACTCTTACAACCAGTTAGCGCAAGTGACCAATAGGATGCAGCTGAGTGACTACTTCGTGTGCTTCTGGCCGTCCCAGTGAGACACTGTTTGGTCATCTACCCATTAATTCACTAATGTGTTATGCCTTTGGAACCGATTGCTGCTGAGCAATGACGGTATTTGATACCAAAAGATGTATTCAAGGCACGCCAAAAATGTTTTCAGGAATGACCGAACATCGTCAACAAGGTGTCTCACTGGGACGAGTACGGGTACAAAAAGTGGTCGCTCCAACAGTCAATCCAGCATACACCAGCCGGTCACTCGAGCTATGCGAGACATGGACCCGGTCTTTGAATGCGTTCAGAAACACGAACCAACATGTTGGTTTCGGATCTTTTCCAGTTAAGCCCCGCCAAAAAGTTAAGCTCCGCCACCCAAAAAATATTATGAAAAGGGAGGATATGGAACTCGAACTTTTACTCTCTATTGAAGAAGGTGAAATCGAGACAAGTCATTAATAATTTGCATGAAAAGGTCCATTTTTCGGTGTCTTTGCCTCCAAACGAACTCACACAGGTAGCTGTCCACTAAAGATCGGTGTGTGCCGCATTGGCGCTTATGCTGCATCTTGTAAATGTGCCAGAGAGATTCGATGGTTTGTGTGTGAGCTCCAGTCGTTGGATCCACAAAGTTTTCGGTATGATTAACCGTTTCATGAGTATAACTCATGCCAATCATCGATTCAATGCCTTGGTATGATGCCCACATTTCGGAAATGATAATTGAGCCGGGAGCGATGCAAGCCTGGATTGTGTCCAGCAGAGTGGCCGCAGTTCGATCTGGCACTGCACACAAGAACACTTCTTTAGTCTCCCGGCAAATCCCTCCGAAAATCCACTGCTGGGGAAGGACTCGCCCTGCATGGTTTTTACGACGTGATATTAGGGTTTAACCGATCTAGACATGTAGACCCGGGCCGTCGACAATCGTTGGAGTCTGCAAAAGCTGCCAGGCGGAAATTTCACGCAGGAAGTTCTTCCAGTCGACAGCGGTCGCGCGGCCAATAGATAACTCCTCTGAGCAGAATTTGATTGTTGTCAGATTTTTGGACCAGCAATAAATGAATAGGATTATTGTCCTGAAATCCATCCTAGACCGCTGCAGCCAAGTTCCCTTTCGAAGACCGATTTCTTGCCGACACTGTCGGGCATCACACCTCCACCTGTCAGAAACAGTTGAAAGTGTGATTTGGTGTCCTCGTCTGCATAAACGTTGATGATGAATCACTCCATGGCTTTGCAAAAAACGTATTGCTGTTTCCTTGTCATGAACGACCGCCGAAAGCGTCAGAAAGTCCATGTCAGGTTTTACGTGCGAACGTAGAAACGTTTTGGACAAAAAAGATTTAAGAAGCGGATAAGGAGTATTTTATGGGGCACGTTCACATGCTTGACGTACACTGGAGCTGGCAAACAGTGGCGGGGCTCAATTTTACACGCGTGCCCTTTTTGCACTATTGGTGGGGCTTGACTTCTCAGGTGTACCCTTTTTGCCTTAGTGGCAGGGCTTAACTGGAAAAGAGCCTTGGTTTCTTGCAGAACACGTTAGGGCAGTTCGATCCCCCCCAAATACTCAATGCGTATACGAGGTCCCACGTTACCTACGCGATCCAGCCCTCACAACCCTGGATAACACTTGAGTTGGTTGCACTGGAGACGCCACGGCGAAAGACGACCAAAATGTGAAACGAGTGTTCAAATGCCATGCCATCTGCAACTGAGAGCCTTGGGAGTGTTCAGTAGAAGTTAATGCCGTTTCCGGGGCGAATTCATTCTGAGGTACCAGATCTTGAGAAACATCGCTCACACTTGCCGCCACCTCCTGTAACGGCTACAGCACAAAGTTGTGGGGGCACCAGCTGAAAATCGTAACTCAATACAGTCGAAGTGAATGCGCCGGAATTATTTTTCGCTTTCAATTTGTCAACCATGGAACGCTCTTTCGGCCTATGTAATTTCTGCGTCGATGCTACTCGTTTGGAAGACTACTCGACGATCCATTATCCCACCTTCATTACTTGATTTGATTTAACTTCCTTAAGTGAGAACAAAACGCAGACGAACACCGTGCTCACCGACCCCCACGAGATCGGGGTAGACGGATATACTTGCGTGTTAATGTGGCTAATGTGGTAAGTCCACGGATATGCGTTTCACTTCAGATCTTTTTTTGAACTTAGGTAATTCACACAAGCCTTCCCATGACCCTGTCGAGCCTTGGCCTTTTTTATTATACCATTGTTCCACTGAAATGTTTGAGCGCGCACAGAGATTGATTAAGACGAATCGCGATCACCACTGCCACTACAAGTATGTGGCATTTGAATAGTTTGGAGCGGCCTTCCTTCCAACGGTAGAACTCGCGGAATGTCTTTACGATGAAAACTGTCGCAGAACTCGGTCATTCAGGGACAAACGGTTTATTCAGCAAAGCGAGCTCAGCGAAAATGACAGCATGCTTAGGTTGTAGAAGCCTCGATGTAAATAACTAGGTCAGCTCCGTAACTAACGACGTTGCTGCATGCGTGAGCTTCTTCCTTTGAATCAGTCAAACAAACTCGCTCGAGCGCTGCCAGCTACTAACAAATCAGCGTAGGCGAAGATGCATAGGCTTCCAATAATCTGCTTCGTTCGCTTGCGGCAAGCTAGCCGCTCGGTTCGATGTGTAAATCCGCACCGTGCTTCTGCTTGCATAATCCCATCACCTACTTCTCTTTTTCGTGATCCACCGTATCGGTGTCGCTGAAAACACCGTACGATTTTACGCTCCGCTTGATCTTTGTTGTCCCGGTAGTAGCGACCTCTCCGTAAATCGTCACGTGCCTGCCTTTACTTTCACACTCTCGCTCCTGGTGTCGCCTCAGCTGCACGCAGTTCACTCTGATTATCTTCCCTTCCGTACTGACTTCATATGGTCTTGCTCCAAACTTCTCAGTCACTATACCTTTCTTCCCTTGCTCGCTTACACCCGGTATTGGTTGGATCCACACTTCATTACTGACTGATAGATCAGGTAGTGCCTGGGTCCCGCGGTCGTAATACCGTTTTTGCTCATGGATCCGTTTTCTTAAATTCGTTTGCAGCTGCTCATGCGCCGACAAGGTTGGGTGTAATAGTTCCGCTGACTCGGACATTAGGGTGCTTGTCCTTCTGTTGCACAGACATCGAACTGGACTGAGACCTATGTTCGTTGATGGCATGTTGGGAATCTTCAACGGCATCAGATATGGATCCACATGAGTCGTTCTGGCCTTCGACGTCTTCTTGCCTTCTTTGACTACTGTCTCCGCTTTTCCGTTAGACTGGCTATGATACGTTATATTCTTTTGCACGCAAAACTTGTGCAGATTGGCGTCATGTTCCTGTTTGGTTGAGCCGTAAACCAGCACATCGTCTGCTACACATGTCACACCGTCTAGATCGTCGATAGTTTGCAATCACCGCTTCTGGAAAATTTCGCTCGGAACCTTCAAACCAAGCGGTAAACAATGAACATTGATTTATCACAGGTAAAAGGCAGGTACTTGACAAGTCCCATAAGGGGG